AGTGTATAATTGCATTTGAAAATCATGTACCAAATTTGAAACTTTATTTTGTGTATTTAAGGGTTATAAAAATTCATATGTATGTACGCCACATTAAAAGGCGTACTGGCATTATGTAAACGGTTCTTTTTTAACCAATAAACTTTCATGTGAGATGTAATAGCATTCATAGAAGGCAGTGGGTATTTAGATTGGCCGGCCAGAGGATGCGACCCAAATTGTATCCTGACAGACGGCAGTGTTTCTTCTTATGTGCACAGTGGTTTGTGGAATTAGAATATTCCTCGCACAGCAGAAACATTTTGTTTAATGTTTTTTTTTTTTTAATTATTTTCTTAATTTTTTTAATGTAATTACATATTGAAATTCAATTAATAAAGTTTAACTAAAAACTAATATATCGATGGTCAAAAATTCACAATGCTTAACCACGATGTCAGCTATGAGTTGTCAATGTTTCACCATCGTTATATATCTACAATGTGTGTAGTAGTATTACTCATACGCCATGTAGGAGTATCCATGCGTTTGATAAATCTTAATAGGAAAGCAATAACAATTGTAATAGGTTCCTCGAATGTGATTAATCATAGCTTACAACTTCCGGCGGCAGCTATGTTTGTAGAGAATTTCTTCATCTACAAAAGAGTACTTCTTCCATTTTAGTCTCGACCCGATGAAAGACAATCGCGATATTAGCGGCGATGTTAGCAGCGATGGGCTAGATGCCAAAAGTTTTTAATTAAATAACAATATTTTCTGGCAAATTGAAAGACGACAAATTTTTTATTCATTATGGAGTTATTGCAAATAAAAGAGGCAACAATAAATCAAACTGAAAATAAACCTAAATTAGCTAAAACTTAAATAAATGAATAAATTGAAAGAGTATTAGATTAAGAACCATATTAGATAGGTAACCATAATAATACTCGTTTTATTTATTTATTTCATAATGAGTAAGTTTAAATTCCTCCGTCACTCTTTCAACAGCTGCAGTTTACCCAAGTGAAGTTTGTTTCGGCAACAAAATACCTACCAATTAATATTTGTGTAAATGTATATACAATGTACAGTACATTGTACATACACACATTTCGCTACTGTGTCTATTCCCAAAAATTAATTGGCTAGCAAACACCATTCTTTTACGCTGATTGCATGGTTTTATATGCCAGTGGGGATTCTATTGTAATTTTTCGCAAGAAACATTTTTATTAGCCACTAAATTTGCTGATTTTTTAAAGCAGCAAGATAGCTTTACTTTTTAACCGACTTCCAAAAAAGGAGGAGGTTATCAGTTCATCGGAATATTTTATTTTTTTGTTTTTTTTTATTTATGTTACCGCATAACTTTGGACCACGTCAACCGATTTCGATAATTCTTTTTGCATCGGAAAGGTAGTGTCTCAGAGGTGGTCCCATACTAAGATCCGATCAGCGGATCATGAGATATATATATATATATTTTTTTTTTATATGGGAGTTGAAGTCGGTTTTTTTTTTTGCTAAAAATTACTAGTATATACGTACATTCATATGTACGTATGTGTGTATATGTAAACTTAGGGTCATGTATGTATGTACATATTTATTAGTAGGTTTACACATATGTATACATTATACGAAAGTAACATCACATATTCGCAAAAAAAAGTTTTGGTATTCAGGTTCACTTGTTTACTTAGTTTTTAGTTAGCAAGGATTTCTAACTTAGCACGTCGTCTAAATTATAGGGTACAAAATTACTTACCTTAAAAACCTCTGCCTTGGAATTAAAACATTTTTATATCTTTCAAGGTCTTTGGAGCACATTTGCAGGACTTGGAATTGGCCACATACACTCCAGTTTGTCGATAAATTTCGATAATGTGGTACATTTCAATAACTAAATGAATTTTCAAAACACTAAGATCCGACCACTCAACAAAATTCGATAACTCGATTAATTTCGAGGGCTCGGTAAATCTCGACTACTCAAAAATGTATATATATAAATCGATAATTCGATAAACATTGGATACCTCTATAAATCTCGATAAGTCGGCTAATTATCAAAGCTCTATATATATTTTGAAAGCTGTCGACAAATCTTGATAACTCGATTTACTCTGGTAACGTGATAAAACGAGATAAGTAGGGATAACTCGATAAAGTTATATAACCTTGAAATTTCAATATATTTTCCAAAAATTTGGTTAGATAAATCGACAAATTTCAGTAAATCCATTACTCTGCTATTAACACTTGATCATGTGGTGGTTGGTTTTGTTGGTTTTCCTTTTTTGTCTTAATCATTGTAATTTATTTTATCATCTTCACATTTATCTTTATTACAATGTTGCATTTCAAATACGAAGTAAAATAAAATGCAAAACCAACTCAAATTGAACATGTTACAACAACAGCTACCAACCAATTTTTAAATCATAAAAACTCTCCTCATCTACAGAAGAGTGCCTTTCCAATAGTGTTCTTGTTAGAGTATTAATATATACATAGATTCCTATACAGTTGGTTGCCATTAGCGAAAAAAACACTACTTACTGCCATTATTTTTTCTTATCATATCAAGCCACGAAAATTAATAAAAAAATTGTTTTTTTTTGTGATTACCTATCATCTATGCAGCCTCTTGGAAATGTTTTCTTTATTAAGATTCTCTTAATTTGCTCGCATATGCACCTCCTTGTCAAAACTCAGAGCCAAATTTTAAATAATTCTAATTTAATGGGGGTCTTTAGAGCAGCTTTGGAAGAGTTTCCTAAGTAAATTGAAAACATTATTTTTCTACTGGTGTAAAATTTCAAATTGGTCAAATTAGGTGTTTTGCTTTGATCATAACGATGTGTCCACATCTTAAGCCATTATGATGAGTAATATGTTAGTAGACAGAAGTAAGAATATCCGACCAGTTTGTAACAAAACTATAAGCAGTCAAGTGAAGTTACCAAACTCGCTTAAAAATGCCTACTTCCACTCAAAATTACGGGAAGTCCCTCAGTTTTAAAGATATCCGAATGTAATTTGGTAAGCGTGTGTCTGTTTACACATACATAACATATCGCTTTTTTGTTATAAATCTTTTTTTGGAGCTAGGAACATGAAATTTCGCCCAATTTTCCCTTATCGTCAACAATATTTTCATACTGAAAATAACCAGATCGAGTTACTACAAATTATCTCTCATGCTACTTTTGTTCAGATATGAGGTTTTTTCTTGGAAAATCATTCTTTGAGATAGCTAAAACCATGCAATTTTAAGAGCTATTTGCTGATTAATCGTAAAAAGTCTTCTGAGAAAATCATCAATATCGGTATCTCTCATACCGCTGATTGTTCATATACTCACTTTTGCGAAATAAATCTTCCATATAATTAGCTAAATATACATAAAATGTTCTCAGTGAAAATCAATTTAGTATAATGTCTAGCTCTCAAACAACCGATTAAAAATACAGCAAAAATAATGTGATGGAAATATATTGTAAAATAAATATAATTTAACGCGACAAAATTTAAAAGCTCTTACAGCTCATAGTTCCATAGTCTGCGGTATTCTCCATCTCCTACAGCAATGGACAGTGCTAGGATTTTCTTCCAAATAAAAAAATTTTCAAGCATACTTTATTTGGAAGAAAATTCACTACATCGTCATCACAAAAAAAAAAAACATACTAAAAAAAAGTTATAACACCTTCGTGCACAAGTGCGCTCGGGTATAATACACAAATTCCTAGCGTCTTGAAACGTGCACTTTTTCCTACTAAAATTTAATGGGCTATAAAAAATTTTTAGAAAGAGTTTAAAACTGTTGGGTGCAATGGGTAAAGTTCATAGAATTTTTATAATTTGTGTAGGAAGTTTGAGATGTGGATTTATATGGTGCTATTTACGCGATGTGCTAAACTTTTAAAAAAATATTATAGACATTAAAAAAGCAAACACAAAACTGGTCAAAATGTTACTTAACTTGATCAGCTAGCCACTTTTACTTTAAGCTATATTAACATATATAAAATGTATTTACGCGTACAAAGAAGGTGATAAGATCAAATGTTAAATAGTGTGAATAATAATATGACCCTTAGACTTATATCAACAAAAAATTAAGAACTTCCCTTTTAAACTTTATCATGAAAGTCTACAAAATGTTACTAGCGTTTAAGGTAAGGTGTATGTACTCGTAACCACTAACTAAATATACATGTAGTCCACATCCACATATATGTGTATATATGTATAATATACTTTGTATTTGGATACAGACATATTAAAAATTTTAAATTTGTATTGAATGCATTATCTACTGTATCCCACTGCCACTAAAGTCCTCTTTAATATTGTTTTTTTTCCATCCTTAGCAATTTGTAGTCTATCCATCAATTATTATCGAACTTCACCCATCATCGTCATTGTAACTATAATTATAAAATATCTTATAATACATTGCACAGTTTCTCGTTACCAATCTCTTACATTTATTTTTATAAAAATATGTGCTCTAAACGTTTCTCATCCTCTACAATTCACAAACTAACCTCCTCCTATCTAACTTTCATATTAAGACTCATTTCAAGATTAACCATATCAGTAACCCACTCCTATAAAAACAATAATTTGACCACAAAAACCGCTTCCTAAACTTCGTATGATGAGTTAGCATTCCATTGCACAAACGAAAATAGCTTTCATTATAATTACCATAACCACAAATGTAGAGTTAGTAAATTCACCATCTTTCCATCTTTAACTCCTCATAACCTTTTACCGCTAAAAACTATTTCTCACATTCGTAATTTCTTATAAAGTAGTGTTCTCACCTCATAATAATCATTCATTTAGTATACATCCCAGTGAAATTCGAACATCAATTACAACAATAACATTAGAACGAACACATTTAGAATTCAAAAATGAAAAAAAATATTTAAAAAATAATACATATAATGTTTGTGCAAAAATTGACTAGTTTGTTTATTGTTGTCTTTGTATTGTGTTGTATTTTTCAGGACGGTCAGCGTGGTCATTTAGAGGGTCTTGCATCAGTGTATTGTGAATTGTTAATGGCTCCCTTTGGGGATATTTTAAGTGCTTTAGAAAACGCTCGGCAAGCGGCGTGGGCGGAACGAAGTCCCATGAATCCGGCCGGTGGCAGTGGGAGTAGCGGTAGTGGCAGTGGCGTGAGTGGCATAGGTGGCCCCAGCGTCAGCACACACCACCGGCATCACGGTCATCGAGGCCATTCGAGCCAAGGTGGCCTACCAAATAGTCATAGTCAGCCAATTTATGTGCCAGGAAAATATTCGGTATGTATACTACCTAGAATAGTGATGAAGTAGCATTTTAATTAGGTGACACATTTCCTTAGTTAATGATTTGCATATATTCGTACATACATACGTACATACGTAAGTGTTCCATAATGAAATTTGAATGAATTGGTTAAAAAATGATACAGGGCATGTATATTAAACTTTTGATTTTCGATATTTGAAAAAAAAGTTGTGCCACACTCATCTAACCGATTCTACCTTATCTCTGAACTTCCAAACAAATGTAGAAAATATGGAAACTCAGCTTAAAGGCTCGGTAGCGTAAGAAAATGAATAATAAAAAAAACATTTGAGTCAAAATTTATTGAATCATCAAATGTGTATCTAATAATAAACTGTGCAACAAAATGAGGCAAATAAAAAAGGCACGAATGCAGTATGGCAATTATCAAAGAGGAAGAACTTCAGAATATCAGACCATCTGCCTTTTGCCCATAAACTTCACAATATTTTTCACAGTGTATTGAAGTTTTCCTAAATTGGTCTCAAATTGATCTTGAACATTTGAAAAAATCTCGTGTAAAATTACATTTAGGGGTCTATAGTAGATATAAATTATATATTATCTATAATTAAATATATTCAGAAACCTTGTATATCTAAGATGGCCTCCGCTACAAAATGGCGGTTTACATAAATCTTCACAACTCTCTCAATTTGGGTATCAAATGAAAGATGGTGGTCACCACAAATACTGAAAAAACTTGACAAGTGGAACACAGTGAATTTTAAAAACCTAACTGTGGACCGAAAAGAAAAAAAAAAACAAAAATTAGCCCAAAAATTCGTCCCCCTGATAACTGGGCTCAGATATTTTGCGAGTTGTAGACGTTATGGTGATCCAACCTTCCCCATATTTTATATTTAGGTTTTCCTAACAAAAAAAAAAAAAATTTATGGAAATCGGATCAAATTTAATGTTTCCGTCCACAAGATTGGAAGGCGTGGCAATTATCAAATCTTTACCATATTTCGAAATTGCCTATTCTAAAGAAAGATTAGAGCACATGTCAAGTCGTCGCCTGGGCAAAAGATTGTCGTAAGCGCCATTTTGACGATTTTTAGTTCTAGATGCAGTTATATATTTTGAAATAAGGTTTTTCGATTGGTGTTATCAGTTTTTAGATATCTCCTTTAGTTTCCGATATATCGACTCGAATTTTTTCGATAATTTAGTAAAAATTTAGTTAGTGATGCAGTCATATTAAACTAATCAATATCTTAGAAATGGTGTTCTCCATTTTTGTACATCTCCTTTTATTTCCGAGATATTGAGTAAAAAGTGACGTAAATTTAGTAGGCATTTTTATCACATTTCATCGTATTTCATACAAAGTGGCTGCCAAATTGTAGACAAATGGCGCTTTCGACAAAATTTTACTAAAGAAAATCCTTCACAAACTCAAAACTAATTAACAATAAACGTTAAAAATTAAATAAGAAAATCTATATTCGCGTTTTTGAGAAATTGTATTCCAAACTTCAATCGCGATTTCACACAACCTACCGAAATCAACATATGACAATCTTTTACCCAAGCGACGGAGTGGCAGCGAAGTCCGTGCACGTTAACTATTATTTGCGCCTGGCTCCATATAAGCGACACACTGTGCATCACGTAGTGGTAAACGAGAAGAATCAGTTAAAACCGTTTAATATATTTTTAAGATGCGAAATAACTTAGGAACTTCATACTATGTTCTTCCTACTTTCTTTATGACTTATCAAAAAAATGTCTTTTGAAAAATGCAGTGTAAAAGCCAGATTAATTCATAAAGAACAACGTCAAAACAAACGAAATATTACTTGCTACTTTTTATTTCTTTTTAAGGAGTTAAAACCTGATTATGACAACCAACCTAAGTTAACTTAACGGAACTTAGAACTTAGAAAATCAAAATGAAACTGATTTCGAAGTGGCATTTAGTTACGTTCAAATTCGGCTGTTCAATTATAAGCGTCATTCATTTAAGAGAATTTTTAAGTGAAAGCCTGTAATTTACGTAATCAGACCATTATACTCTATCCAGAATTACAGCGGACGACGGTAAAGCGCTCGGCGGTAAGTGAATAGCTGTTCAATCGCGGTAGTGAAATCCGTCCGCGTAAACACAATTGCGGCGGATGACGGCTTCCGTCAGCTGTCATTTTAATTTGGAAATTACCACTAAAATTGAAACCTTTTTCGTTACGTGCTTATTGTTTCTGGAAATAAAAATGGATGCAAACATTGGCACACTTGTGAAAACAATAAAAATTATCATAACCAAAACTCAACTAACATTGTGCCACCCCCGCTGGACGGGGGGTAACAGAAGTAAATTTAAATCAACCGAAAAACGTCGGCGGTAGAACCGCAGTCGCTGCAATTATGTGCCATTCCATATGACTTTGTAGGTTTTAATTTTGACAGCGGTTAACCGTCGTCCGCTGCAATTCTGGATAGAGCATTAGATAAAAATAATAATATAGTCGTTCAAAAAAAATGTGTTCATTTTTACTAATTAAGTAGGGTTGGTTCCAAGAGCGATTTTTTTTTAGTATATATGTATTTAAAAATTTATATGTATCTGCTTGTTTGGATAGGCGCTATTTTACTGGTGGCGGGCTACCATCCAGAAGTTAAAATGGAATCGAATTAGGCGATGGGAATGGCTTACCCCCTTTCGCTTCAAGAAGGCATTATTTTAACAAGGCCATGTCATTGGCGGTAAGCCCTTACCCGCAGCAATACCTTCGAACGAAGAGATAAACAGAATCCAGAGAAACGAACAAAGAATGCCTTTACAGAGAAATTACTGTAGAAAGCCTAGATAGGTACATACTTATGTATGTACGTATATTAAATTGAAAACCGAAAATACAGATTAAAAGATTAAAATTTTTATAAATTAGTTTTTATACATACATATATACATATGTATGTCTTTAGGTATTTAGATCTTACTTAAAAATCGATATGTAATTAAACTTAAAATTGTACTTCCTCACTCATGTACTTCACTTGATTGGCTGATTTCAACTTCGCTGTAAATTTAACAAAGCAAAATATGATTTTTATGCGATGGAATTTTCCACAGAAAGTAACGGTAGAAAAGAATTTTTGGCTATTAATTCTATTTTTCAGCTGACTATGGTGAAACATTCTACTCTGCATTCCCCGTAATGAATCAAAGCAGCGAAATTAATAAAATATTGTAGAACATTCTGCTATGCATTACCGACAATGCCTAAAAGAAGCGAACAAATTAGAAGACATTATAAGGCAATGCGTTCTAGAACACATTACCACCAACAGCGATTACCCATTTTTTGTGGGGCAGGAAAGGCACTTAGAACCGTTATTTACATTCACTAAGCTCGAAGTGCAGATTTTTATATATGTTTTACAGAATATTGTTACCGGGATTGATTCAATATTGCCAGCAGTGATCGGACTTCTACCACATTGTGGTAGATCTGCCACTTTTTTGAGCATCTACCACATCTACCACACAAGGTCTGAAATCTACCACATGTTCGCGTTTTTGAGTAGTTTTATTTTTGCTCGACATAATTTTCTTTATTTTAAGAGCAAAAATTGTCCAACACTAAACACTAACAACAGGCAGAATGGGAGGATAAAATAAACCGTAAAATAGTAAATTTTCTCAATATTAAATTGTTTGACAGGAAACGTGGTTTTATTGTGTTAAATTGCAGAATATATGATTTATAAAAAAGAATTAATAGCGAAAATGTTAAAAAGACGGCGATTTTTGTGAACGCATTAGCAAATTGAAGTACATCTAAGGTTTCTGAGGCGTTGTTTACTTTTATTTGAGAATTGCCAAAATCGGCAAATCCCAAGTAGCGGTTTCTGATTCTGCCACATTTGTTTGCTACATCGTGATGTGATAAAAAAGAAAAGCTGGCAGCACTCCGCAAGGTTGCAGAAATCTTTCAAAATATGTGCGAAAAAATCTGGAAAGAACTGCTTTATACTGTCAAGCAAAAAAAATTGCCAAAACTCAACGCAATTTCAAGCAACTTGAATCTTGCACTTTTTTATACTAAAATTGATTTTTTTTTAGATTCTAATTAAAATGTTTGCAATTTAAGTGAAACCTTTCAGATTTTTTTTTTAATTTTTGTACAAATTTTGATCCAAAACCTGAGATCTACCACATTTTTTTCCAGATTCTACCACACAAAATTTTTTAAGTCCGATCACGGATTGCCAGACACTTTTTGTTGGCACCAGAAGTTCAAAAGATTTTTGCATAAAATAATGTTACATATCCATTCGTTTGGTCAAATTTAGGGCCGTTTATTCAATGTCCGATTAACACAAACCAGAGGTAAATGCTCCGGTTAAAAACGATTGCTGATTTATCTACCACATGTTATATGCATGATGTTGAAAATGTCAATAATGATGTTTAACTGGGAGGTAGTGATAACTAAATACTGAACAAATGGCCCTTAAAAGTAGAACAATAACTATTGATTATGCAAACTTTTACGACTCTGGCGAAAATTATCGCAATTTAAAAATTTCTGGCCATATTCAATATTGGGTTTTAGCAATATTCTATAACACTTACATAAAACACCAGTACTCCGATGTTAGCAAAGTTGAGTAAAGTTTTTTACGTACCTTTCCTACCTCCGACCTGTAGAAGGGCCGCCTACCCAGGTAAGCGGTTACATATATAATTTCAAATATACAGCCATATGAAAAATAACATTGTACGACAATTCAAACTTATCCGCAGTAGCTCGTGTTTTTATTGTATGGCCTACTAAAGTTGTCATGTCTCGGCCTAAGTAATAATAATAATAATAATAGATTGGCGCTTACACATATGTTAGTGTTTGGCCGAGCTTCTCCTCCGCTTTGTGGCGTGCGCCTTGATGTTGTCACACAAAGAGGAGGGACCTAAAGTTTTACGCCGACTCCGAACGGTGATTGTATTTTAATGAGAGGCTGT